ATTCCCCTGTACCAGATTCACATGGGTCTAGCACACCTGTAGGACTTGTATGTTGTGGGGAACTGTATGATCAGAACTCAGTAGGCAAGGGTCCAAATACCTGTGCTGTTAACTGCAGGCATTCACTGAGAGTCTTGTTGACCTTTTCACTATGTAATATGTGCTTTAAAGCATCAGAAGAGTATTCTTGTTCTTCACTTTTAGACTGGGGTCCAAGAAGCGCAAATGCAGGAGGCCGTCTCATCACTTTTCCTCTAGATGCCCTCCAATCTTCCAGGCGAGCTCTGCATTTAAGAATATTGTTAGCTGAAGTGACAGATGTTTTATAATTTTTTGATATTGACTGACACTAACTAGGCTAAGTCATTCAAAGATATTCTTTCCAGATAGTTCAACTCTTCTCCCTTTTAATCCCAAAAGGAATACAGCTGCCATTTAGATCTGCATGGAAATTTCAGAACCATGCATATCGCTGTCATATACATTAGGTATATGTCAGCTCAGAACACTTTAACCTCTTCCTTTCCAGCGGACTTCGGTTACAGACCCTTGTTTTCAAAAGAGGGTAAAAAATGCTTCCGAGTTATTCTTCTGTGTCACCTTTTTTCCCTAATCCCACTTCACAGAAAACTAGAAGCAATCTCTTAAGACAGAAAGCATGGAGTAGCCCAGAACAACCCTATAACACAGTTTTTAAAATCTGAAACTGATGTGATGCATAATTCAGTTTCCATGTTTCATTGCAACCCCATCCCTCTAGATCATCAATTTTTAGTAAATGTGAATTTCTACAAGGCCCTTTATCAAGAATATTTAGTAAGTTTTAGATTATGAATCATCTTTCTCTCCATTGTCTAGGTTGCCTTCATCTAATCGAAAAATGTCATTGATAACTGCTCTCCTTCAGTCTGTAAAGTTGCTCACTTCTCTATACATCCAGAATCAGTCTTTTTTTTTTAAGTGTGACATGCATGTGAAATTCACTTACAGGATTATCTGTCATGCTTAAGGCTGTCACAACACTTAGCCTAAAAAACAGCTTTAGCAATATCTATTTTCTAACTGTGCTGGACAAGCTATAAGCCTGGAGAGCTGCTGCAGTTAGTCCGAATCTAAATTTCTCATTATTAAGTCTACAGTTTTAGATCTGCTTGGGCATCAAGTTTAAATGTTCAGATTTTTTTTTTCAGTGAACCTACAGCAAGAAATAGGTCAAATTAGATATTCTTGGAAAGAAGGTAAATAACCTCCAAGTTCAAGGCACAAGAGTAATACCTTCTCTCTTCTGCTGACTCTTTTGGCAGAATAGAGTTTCTGTGGCCATTAGTTTTAGAATTCTGTCCTGGTTTTGTACCAGGAGCAACAGAAACTGGTTTTGCTGGAGCTTCTGGTCTTGCAGCTTCACAAAAATCTGCACATTTCTTCACACCTCGCACTTTGTGGTCAGGATTGCTAGAAGCAACCTTTGGTGGCTGTGGTCCCCTTCCACCAGCCAGTTTTTGGACTGTTACTTTCTTTGGTGCTGCAGCAAATGTCAGTTGCTGTTTCTTCAGACCAGACGGCGCGTTAATAGCAGCTTTGTCAGATGGCTTGCTGTGAAACGGCAGGACACCACTCGATTTTACAGACTTAGAGTTGTTTGCAACTTTGATGTTCTTCAGAACTGCACTACAGCTTTTTGTGGACATAGAACTTGCTGCTTGTTTGGTGACAGAAGGAAGAAGCTTCTTCTCTGGTAAAGAACCTTTTTCCCCCTCAGTTTTTACTGTTTTTCGGAAGGAATTTATCTTGGATGGGATAACTTTGCCACGGTATTTGCCAAGTGCTGGTTTCTTTGGTAGGCTGATACTTGCATTTTGTTTTTCCGCAATCAATTGCTTCTCTCTTATTCTTTTTATTTCCAAGAAGGCCTTACTAAGTGATGCATGCTGAGATTTCATTTCAGTAGCTTTGGCCTTTGAAGCTTTACCTTCAAGATTCCAGTTTGTCCCTGATAGGTAACTTGTCAGTGGGATTGTGGAAGAGTTTAAAGTAACATTTTTTTCTGAGCTAACACTTGATTGATCCCATGACAGTTTATCATCATTCTCTTTATTTTCCTGAAATCAAAAGCAAATTCACAGTAACATTAGAAGTACCTTCATTCTGCATGTTACTTGTTTCTAAAGTTGCTTCCACTGATTTATAGGACTGAAGTGATTAAAGGTAAATGCCACTTAAAAAGTACCTACAGAAGCAGTGTATAAATACTGAGTAGAATATTTGTCAACTATTATTGCAGAATTCACATTTAAAAAAAAATCAAAAAAATTGCTTAAATTCTGCCTTGGGAGTAAGAAACAAAACTCTCAAAGTAACTGCTGGCTTTTAACTGTCAAAATTACCTTCTAAGAAAAGTTATGAATAGAAACTTGCTTTAGACTGTATATAGTCAAAAGCACTATCTCTACCTACCTCATCACTTAATGGCAGCACCATTCCCCCACTTAGTGTGGATAGTCTACTAGCAGGAGGTAGTGAGTAAAACCTTTAATTAGGGCACTAGGAGTTGTTACCAGAAGAGGGAGAATTTTTCTTACTATTGAGCTACAGGATGCTGTAAGTCAAGAATAGTTATGTCAGTTTTGTATGGATTTACTACTCCCTGAAACTCTCAGCCATATGTTCTCAGCACAACCCTCCATGAGAAGTGGGATCTAGTCTTTTCCTCCAAAGAAGATGCTCTACAGCAACTAATTCAGCACTGTCCAAGCAGCAACTTTTGAAAGAGTGAAATATCTAAGGCAGGAAAAAAAACATGAATGACACATGGACTTCTGCAGAAGCTGATACTCTTATTTAAGATGCCCTCAAACTGTATGAAAACTACACTGCATCTCATTTCTTGGTATGTCATTCAGGAGTAGAAGTTAGATTTGACCTATTTGACTTTTGAGTATGAGGGTTGTTATTTCAGGAAGCTATATAGCTTAACTTCACTTTAAAATCACACAAGACATTTATACAAAACAAAATATGTCCCTTCTGGAAATTTCTAAAAAAAAAAAAAAAAAAAAATTTCGTTCTCACTTTTGGAATTTTTCCACTCAACATTCTGTTTTGAAGTTTTAAGGTTATTGGTTTCCTTCTCAAATAACTCTGCATCTCAAATCTTTGGTAACTCACATTCAAAACTGCCTAACATGAACCCAGGCCTCGTGTTTATTTTTATCTCAACTTTCCTTGAGAACAGATCTGGAGAAGAATCTCTGTTTTGCTATTTCTAAGCAGCACAACCATTTGCATCTTAATTTTGGAATAGCGACATGAAATTATATAGGGAACACATTCCATTAAATTCTGATTAGATATTGGCACCTACTTCTGATTACATTAGACTTGCCAGTACACAAGAGAAAAAGCACACTCAACAGTTAGTTTCGTTAATGATTCAGTTTTCTTCCAAGTACCAGAGTACAAATAGAAGACTTCTCTACTTTGTTAGAAGACCTTAATCAGATTTTAAATTCATTCCCTGAAGACTGAAAATATATAAAAAAAAAATCTGAGATTCTTAAGAAAGTTGTTAAAATTAAAGCATTATTTCAGCAACAATGGTATCCTCTTTAACTCCCTCTCCCATTGTGTACAAACTGAATATCAATATGATCTATACCATACTGTAATGTGACAGCTTTCCAGAAAGCATATAATAAATAGTGACTGAATATAGTCTTAACAGGCTGCACTTCTGTGCCTGAAAACTTCTCATGCACTGGAAGTCATATAACAAAAATATGATTTAAGTGAGTGGAATGTTGTAGCTGCAGGAACAGAGTACCATCAGTATTTAAATATCAGTCAAAAACTTACCATTTCTGGCTTTGGAGATGTTGAGAGCTGTAAGTTTTCTTGCACTTTACTGCTAGTTGCTCTCCTAGTTCTGCTACTGCTTAAAAAAAAAATAAAATCTTAAATCATGCAACAAAGGAATGTATTTTTGATCCAGTCGGCAGTCAGCAGGCTGAACTCACACAGAAGTATTTCTGTTTAGCTTGTACTATTCTTCCAGGAAAAAAAAAATAAAAATTTAAACAACCACTGATCAAGGTCCAGACTGCAAAACATGCCATCTTACACCACGAAGAGCTGGCTAACAGATTGGAATTGACTGCAGATGTCATTCTCATGTTTAAGGATGAGCACCAACTTGTCTAACCTGATGCATTTGCTACAGAAGTTTAAGTTTCTAAATTCTGCAGTTGAGGGCGAAGGAGGAGTAGCTCAAGGAGTCGAAGCTATTGCAATCATCAGAGACCAGGGCATTTGAGGCGAGTCTGAACAAGGACACATAGTTTCTACCATAGTGACAGGTTCCAAAACCTTCAATCAGGCACCAGAGCTGGCATCAGACTACCCAGTGAGTTACAAAACCACCAAACCAGTATTGTCTCCTAGCAACTATGAAAATGTAATGACAGCTCAGAAGAAAAACATCTCAGAGTTACAAATCCAAGCTTTTCCTCAGATGCTTCGTGATGCATTATAAAAAACATGTGGTATTACTTCATGTGACTGAAAATGAACATTCCAGTTCACAGATGGTACCTTTGCATCAGATGATCTTACAGAAGACAGCTGAGATGAAAATTAAGGTATATTAGTGAATATAAAGAATTTAAGCCATAGCAGAAATACTACCTGATCGATGTCTGGTTTTCTTGAATGGGCACACCAGAAAAAGTCTTCTTTCTTGACAAATATTCTTCGACTTTTTGTCGCCTTTGTTCTAGTGGGTTTTAAAAGACAGACTTATTACATTTTCAGCTAAAATGGCAATGACAAACTTTGATTCTTAGTAAAAAAAGGAAATACAATTAGAAAAGCATCAAGACTTCATGAAATAGAGACATTACGGATTAAGGATGTTTTTAGTTTAATATTGACATTGCAGTTACACATTCATTTCTTGAGAAAGGCTATATTCAAGGGGTGCTTGAATGTATTTCACAGCTCTACAAGTTGGTTGTTTTGCTTTGTTAACCCAAAAGAAACACAATTTGATGGGAAGAAGTCAGGCTCACTCATCAGCAAGCACACTTTTCATCTGTGGCAATAGCAAGCATAGCACACATGAAAAACACCACACACATGAACCCAAGTGACCATCTGTAAAGTCATTTGCTTATCTTCCACTGTCACTTGGGCATCTGTGCAAATGTTGGACTAACAGGAGTGTCAATAACAGCATAAAGTGATCCTGAATAGGTCCTAAGACAGCTGTGATTGTCCCTCCAGGGACGGTGCCTCCACCACTTCCCTGGGCAGCCTATTCCAGTGTCTAATCATCACCCTTTCGGTGAAAAAACTCCTTTTAATGTCCAACCTCCCGTGTCACAGTTGGAGACTACGTCCTCTTGTCCTGTCACTGGGAGAACAGACCAACTCCCACCTGGCTACAACCTCCTTTCAGGTAGTTGCAAAGAGTGATAAGGTCCCCCTGAGCCTCCTCTAGGCTAAACAACCCCACCCTCCTCTGCCGCTCCTTGAGGGACTTTTGCTCCAACCCTTCACCAGCTTCGTTGCCCTTCTCTGGACAAAGTTTACGAAAGACCGTGTACACCACCTGCTTCTGAAGACGCTACAGCAGAGATGCACCTGCCAAGAGATGCTGCATAGCAGCAAGCACCCCAAAGCCCCCCACCAGCACCTTCTGCTTTGGAAACTCAGCTCTCACCGCCCTTCGCACAAACAGCAAAGTCCCAGTCAAAGCAACTCTGTTGCTTTAAGTTGCAGGAGTCAAACCGTTCAGAAACTAAATAAACACAAGAGCACGGATCTAGATCAGCGGCACATTTGCTGGTTTCAGTGGGACGCTCTTACATTAGGGGGTCTCTTTCGCCATGAGGGACGGCTTCTACCCCAGGAGCCCTGCCCGGGGCAGGGGGTGGGATGACAGGGTGAGGTGTGGGATGCGACGGGGTGCGGTCCGCACCGGCCCCAGCGCTGCCAAGGGAGGGCGAAGCTCTAAGACCACGGCAGCAAGCGCTGCTACCAAGGCCTGGGGCGCCTTCCCTCGCCTCCGGCTTCTCGGGGAGAGCGACCGGCTCCCCGCTCCCACGGGCTCCCCCGCTCCCACGGGTTCCCTCCCGCTCCCACGGGTTCCCCCCGCTCCCACGGGCTCCCCCCGCTCCCACCGGCTCCCCCCGCTCCCACCGGCTCCCCCGCCACCCGCCGCGCGCGGGGCCGTAACGACGAGCGGTAACGCTCGGCCCCGCGCGGCCGGCCAGCGCCGGGCAGCGTGTATGTGCGGGGGGGAAGGGGGGAGCAGCTCAGCCCGCCGGTGCCCCTCTGCCCCGGCCGTACCTCGGAAGGCGGGCTCGGACCTGCGGCTGGCCGGGAGCAGCGGAGCGGCGCGCGCCGCCATGGCCGCCGGCAGTCAGCGTTTGAATCGCCCGCCGCCCGCCGGGGCCGCCCTGATGGGCCGGGCCGCGGCGCTCGAACTGGCCAATGGCGGGGGGCGGGCGCTGCCCTCCCGTGCCGCCGCGCGGTTCGGGAACATGGCGGCCGCTCCCTGAGCCGCCGCCAGAGGGCGCGGGGCGGCCGCGCACGGTCCCGGCGCGCCCGGCGGCTGCGGGCGGGGGAGCGGCTCCAGCGGCCCGGGGAGGCCGAGAAAGGGAAGGGCGGCCATGGACAGGTTCTCGTGGACCACCGGGCTGCTGGAGCTAGGGGAGACGCTGGTGGTCCAGCAGCGCGGCGTGCGCCTCAGCGACGGGGAGGAGAAGGTGACGGGGGCGGCCCCGCGCGGGGCCTGGCGGCGCGGCGCAGTCCGGGCGGAGAGGAGGCCGCGGGCCCCGGGCAGCGGGGCGGTAGGGCCGTGAGTGTGGGTGGTGTCGAGCGAGGGGCGCGACACGACGGGTGTGAGGGCCTGGGCTGCGGGCGGAGCATCGGCTAGGGTTGTGGGAGGACGTTCTGCACCAGGGTCTGGCGGGGTTTGTGTCTGTGAGGAGATTGTTAGGGCGGAGTTCCACGGTCTGGGGGACTGTGCCGGTCTACAGTCGGCTGAACGTGAGCCATCAGTGTGCCCAGGTGGCCGAGAAGGCCAATGGCATCCTGGCCTGTATCAGCAATAGTGTGGCCAGCAGGACCAGGGCAGTGATTGTCCCGCTGTACTCGGCCAGGCCACACTTCGAGTGCTGTGTCCAGTTCTTGGTCGCTCAATTCAGGAAGGACATCGAAGTTCTGGGGCGTATCCAGAGAAGGGCAGCGGAGCTGATGAAGGGTCTGGAGCACAAGTGCCATGAGGAGCAGCTGAGGGAGCTGGGGTTGTTTAGGCTGGAGAAGAGGGAGGCTCAGGGGGGACCTTTTGCTCTTTACAACTACCTGAAAGGAGGTAGCCAGGTGGGGGTTGATCTCTTCTTCCAGGTAACTAGTGACAGGACGAGAGGACATATCTTTCAGCTGCACCAGGGGAGGTTTAGGTTAGACATAAGGAGGAGTTTCTTCACAGAAAAGGTGATTAAACATTGGAGTGATGGTGCAGCCACTGTCCCTGCAGGTGTTCAAGGAAAGAGTGGATGTGGCACTCAGTGCTATGGTGTAGTTGACATGGTGGGTTTGGGTCATAGGTTGACCTCGATGATCTCAGAGATCTTTCCCAACCTGATTCTGTGAGAAAGGCCTTGAACAGTGTGTGCCACATGGAGGGAGGGTTGGGAGCCCCATGGGGTGTGCTGGCATCACTGTCACAAAGCACTGTCCACTGCTCGAGCTGTCAGGGCCAAGCCTACACAGCGACTTGAGCTCTTACTTTGGTGTCATGTACAGGCCATGACGCAGAATTCACACTGGAGTCATCCTGGTAGCTGTAAAATGCACTGGTGCATCAAGGGTGCTGATCCTTCACTTGTCTGAGACAGCCTACTTAATGCTTCATTTTACTGCTGGACTGACTCTTGATCTCTCCGTTTTTCTACACCACAGTAATTGCATGCCCTCACAGAAAACTGTAAAAGTGTGCATCAGATTTTACAAGTAGGAAGCAATTTGCTACCACAGATTTTCTGTGTACTGTTTGCTGTCTGATAAATAAAGAGCTTTTCAACAGTAACATGGATAGAAGCATTACTCCTGTGTGATAAAATGGAAGATTTCAAACTGTGTGTAGCATCTTCTTAGTAGGTTGTTTTACTTTAAATGTTTGGATATCTTGCACAGTATATGGAGGGAGGATCCCTTAGGATTTCCGAGGGGCAAAGTTTATTCCCATTAAAAAGGAAGTTTGTGTATATCCATCTAATCCCTTTATACTTATTTTCTCCATTGTTTCCTAAACTTCATGTATTTTGGTTTCTGAAAAAAGGGGAGTGTTCTCAAAATATTGTCTTGTTGAATCTGATTGCTATGTCTTGGTAAGGTGTAATGTTTCCAAGATCAGTATTTATGCAACTTATCATTTAAATTTGTTGTTGATCTGTATTATTTTTCTGGTTTAGGTGAAATTTGATAGTGGAGTTTTACTGCTTAGCACACACAGACTGATCTGGAGGGATCAGAAGAATCATGTAAGTCCTACTTTTGTCTCCTGTTTGTCATTCAGCTGTAAATTCCATCATAAACAACAAGTAGCTTGCAATGAAAAGACTGCACAGAGAGAGGAGATTTTTCCTTCCTTTGTGCATCTTTCTTTTACAAGTATATTCAAATTTTTGGCTCACAGTGGAAAGAAAATTATGTAGAGGAAAGTTCTTTGACTCAGTTTCTGCTTATACCCATGCAGAGATGAGGAGGGATGTGAACGAATCCTATAAACTTTCTTTTTCTGTGGCACAAAAAAATAGGAGAAAAGAGCCTAATATCATGTACTAAAAACTTTGGTTTTGAGACTGAAGTTGAATGTGTCAGGCAGATCATAACATGAAGTTTTCTCCCATGATCCTTGTCTAGGAAGACCTTTTCTTCCTTATTGATTTCAAGTACAAGTTTCCCTGTCTTCTTCTCCCATCATATAGTCCTGGACCATGATTTGATAATAGGATGTGTTTAGTGGCAGGTCTGACCCTCCCAGCTGCCTGTTCCTGCACTGAACCATCTCTTCAGTAAGCCAGAACATTTGTCTGTACTCCTGTGGATAGTTAGTCCAAGGTTAAGTAGCACTGTCAGAATTACAGCGTGGTAACAGTGCTGCTGAATGCTTTGTATCATCAGCCCAGAGCCTGAGACTGCAGGCTGGAAGTGGGTGAGAACTACAAACAGCTACAAAGCTCTAAACGTAGACTGTGAAACATGCACCGCACTACAGGGGCAATTGAAGGAGAAGCTGAAGTCCTCAGACCACGTTTGATTATGCTTATTTTGGACACGATAATGTAGAAATTTAGCTCTGGAAGCCAAAGTTTAGACAGCAAATTCAGATGACATCTTTTCAAAGGCAAATTATGTTCTACTGGGCTAGTTTTGTGCAAGGGTAGCACAAGCACCTGTCACACCTGACGGCTGTTCCCTACCAAGTATTCACATCCTTGATCCAAAGCAGGGAGCTACTAAGAGCCTTCTGAAGGCAGTGTCACCAAGAATGTTCTTAAATTTGGCAAAACAATAAGTTTTTCTCTAGGGAGTGTTTGCAGGGATAGCAGAAATATTTTTAGTACAAATGTCTCAAAATGTTTTAAGAACTGTTGCCCAGGGTGGGGTTACTGTTCCACAAGTCAGGGGTTGATTGTCCGGCCTGTGAGCCGGTCTGTATAAATTAATTGTGCTTTTTGCACAGTCAGCATGAGTTTGTGCTAAACTGTGTGTTAATCACTTCTTATTTCTTCATCAGCATCTCTTTTTGAGAGGTGACCATGTACTGCAATATGCACTGCTTCTTGTCTTCTCACTTGGACTTCTTCCTTGTTTGAAGTAACATTAGGCATGATGACTTCAGCAGCTCTTAGAAATGACCATATCCATATTCCCTCCTTTCCAATAAAAGGATGACATCTGTCTCTTTTTCCCAACTTCTCCCTCTGCTCCTAGGCTACATGATTTCCTGTACTCTTTCAAGATCATTGAATTTCCTAAATCAGCAGAGGAGACCCCTGGAGAATAAGGAAAAAAAAAAATTATTTTACCTATTTTAACTCAGCAAAGATTTTGACAAGCTCCAGGCCAGATTAACAAAAGGGGCAAAAACATGTCCTGGAGACTGGCAAAATTTACCCACTTCTGATTATGGAGATGTAATTAACTTTGTTAGTGTGGTAAATAAAATTGACTCATTTTTGCGCTCTTTTGACTGAAACATGGGGAGCACAGTGCCCTTTTATTTTCATGGTGAGTTGTTGCCTAAGCTCAGCTGTGGTGTAACATCAGACTTAGAAACCTTAGCTAGCTTACCTGCCAGAAACTTGTAGAGAGAGTCCCCTTCTATTGTGTCAGCAAACTTTAATAATAAATGGGGCACTTGTCCTTAGGTGAACATAGCAAACCTTCTTACAGACGCAGACAGCTGTGTTTTACAGGTGCTGTTTTTATATACCATCCACCTTGAACAGGATAGAAAATACAGCAATTTAAAAAATTTAAAAAAAAATTGAATTCTGTAACGTTTGTCACATAGATATGTTTTGTACGTTTTCAATGATAAAGTCATGCATAATGTGAGCCTGAGACGTTAGAAAAAAAATTTCCAAATAAACACACAGCATTTTTAACACATTTCTATTTTTGTACTCCTTTGTCTAGTTCTCTCATGAGGAAGGAGTCATTGTAAACCGTTGTACTTAAAATGAGTTCATAACTTTCTAGATGTGAACTAAATGAATCAATCACTTTGACAGTGCACATGGTATATATAGTTGAACTCTTTTGTTGTTTTCAAACCTTTTTTTTTAATAGAAGTATCATATTGTGTGACTTTAAGGTGTCCAGAACTTTGTGGGTATTTTACAAACAGTAACTGTTCTACATAACGGCTGTAGAAACTGGAGCCACTGAAGAATCTAGGTAGCTTGCATGAAGAGTTTTTAAGAACAGGAGGTACAACCCATGTTTTTTGCCAGTAAGAGATCTACTTAATAGTTAGAGTTCCTTCATGTACACTTCCCTGATCTCCAGTTTAATGGGTATTTAATTATTCAATGTAAAGAAGAACAATTTGGGTAGGAGAGGTTGAGAGGGCCCTCTAACAGTGTTCACTGTAGAGTGGTGCTAGGCACACCCTCATGGCAGGTGGAAAAGAGAGGTCCAAAGAGGGAATGCAGCCTGTGTTTCCTTTATTCTCTGTGACTGTGTCACTCACCAAGCTGTTATGTGGAAAATGATGGTCACCAAAGGATGTTCACAAAAACAAGACCAGGCACCTAATTAGATTCTTTGAATCATTCCCTTAGCAATTTCTGTCTCAGGTAAATATTTTAGCTTGGGGTATCTTAGTCTCCTACAGATGGATATTGTCTTGTTTCTTGCCCTTTGTTTTGTCTAAAACACAGTCCAATAAATGTGTGTTGAAACGCATCAAGTGCTGGATTCGGTCCTTCGGTGTAGGATAGATGGAAAAATTTCTATTGCACTGAGACAACAGTCTTGTGTTTTGGAGTTTCAAACAGGCTGCTGGTTTGGGATTTGTTTTAGCTCCCAAATAAAATCAGTGCAAAAATGTTAAGAACCTATGGGTATTGTGCACCTACAGGGATGAGCTGCAGTAGTGTGTCAGTTTTAGTGTTTAAATTTTGAACTTGGAAATCTAACAAATCTTTAGATCTTAGTCCACTTATGAATCTACTTTAGGTTCTTAAGCACATTGACACTTGAATTTGTTGGTTGTTTTTTTTATTAACTAGAACTCAGTTTCAGTTTTGTGTTATTTTTCTACACATATTTCTCTTTAATAGATTGTTTCTATTGTTACCATCATATTTCATATCGACAGCCTCAGGCAGCACCTGTAGAAATCCATACTGTCTGGGAAATGGGGAAAGTGAACACTTGGGTTTAGAGAATGAGTAGTCATGATATAGCTTTAATTTCACTTACACATGTGGTGTTTGTTCCAGGAGTGCTGCATTGCTGTACCTCTATCTCAGATCGTATTTATTGAAGAGCAATCATCCGGGATAGGAAAAAGGTAAGGTGGTTGTCACAGTCCTTTTCCATTTCAGATGAATACTTTGCACATGTATATCATATGACGTACCCAATATTATATATTAATTCATGGTAGATTCCATTTGCAATCTTAAGTTTCCAGATTGACAGCCACAAGGATCTGCTCATTTGAGGTCAGATGTGTAAGACAGTCATGACAAAGCACTGTTTGATGTGATTTGTTAAGATAACTGTCTTGTAATCATGAGCAGGTATATGTTTTAGCATGCCATTATTATTTGATTAGTCATAAAAGACAACAGTGATTTTGCTGGATCTAAATTGAAAGCTAAGTCCTTTGTGCCACGGGACTCTTTGGGAATAGCAACTTTGACACATTCCATATTATATGACTTTTCATAACTGTGTGATTGATTTTGAGCATGGCAATGCTAGTGATGGTTAGAAGGAACTCAAGTGTTTCCACGAAGGGAATAACTAAATCAGTAGGTATGTGTCTAAAGGAGTGTATAAGCCAGCAGTGTGCTCAGCTGTCCAAGAAGGCCAATGGCATCCTGGCTTTGTGTCAGCAATAGTGTGGCCATCAGGGCTAGGGCAGTGAATATCTCCCTGTGCTCGGCACTAGTGAGGCCACACCTTGAATCCTGCCTTTAATTCTGAGTCCCTCACTTCAAAAAGGCATTGAGGTGCTGGAGTGTGTCCAGAGAAGGGCAACAAAGATGGTGAAGTGTTTGGAGCACAAGTCTTACGAGGAGTGACTGAGAGAGCTGGGGTTCTTTAGCCTAGAGGAGGGACACTCAGGGGAGACATTATTCTCAAGTAACAAGTGACAGGACAAGGGGAAATTGCCTCAAGTTGTGTCAGGGGAGGTTTAGACTGGATATTAGGAAAAACTTCTTCACCCAAAGGGATGTCAAGCATTGTCAAGCCTGGAGAAGTGGTGGAGTCACCATCCCTGGAGGTACCTAAGAGATGTGCAGATGTGGCTTAGGGACATGGTTTGGCAGTGCTCAGTTAACAGTTGGGCTCGATGATCTTAAAGGTCTTTTCCAACATAAACGATTCTATGATTTTAAGTTTCACAAGAAAAAAGAGAGAAAACATTAACTGGAAAAATATATACATAGTTGCCATCTGCTTTCAGCCTACAGTCAGATCGGTATGCTGAGGATATCCAAAAGAAATCAGGTAATTCACTAATGCTGGGGAAGTGAAGTAAATAAGGACCAATGCAAAGAGTATCAGTAAAATGAGATGGGAATGGCCGGCTTGCAGTCATGTTGTGATATGAGTCTGTTAATGTTCTTAAAATAATACTATCTGAAAGTTTGTTTTGGTGGTGTCATTTTAGACTGTTATTTCCATGCATGTTACCTTTGAATGTTGGTTTTGGACAAATTCACATACAGTGTTCACAAGTGACATATGCCAGTGGAATAGGTTAAACATAATATTGAGACCTTCTGTTTTCCTGTGGCAAAGATAGTGTATTTTGGCTTTTGACTTGCAATAACTACTGACAAATGAAACGACAACAGTCAGATTTTTTTCAGAAATTATCAATTGAAATTTTAAAATTTGTTATGCTTATTTCTTGATGGTAGGTACATTTTAAATTTGTGAGATGTTGCTGTTTCAGATGGTATAGCAGTTTTTATGCAAGATCTGCTTAGTCAAAATACTTAAATGTTGATGGACAAATGTAAAGCATTTGCTGATGTACTTTAGCTCTCTATATGAGATAAAGTTAATAGAGGTTTTGATGAAATTTTTAACTTTGATTGTAGAAATTTTTTTTTTTTAGATAATACAAAGATTTTTTCTCTTTCCTTTACCTTTTTCTTAGTGCTAAAATAGTAGTTCATCTTCATCCTGCTTCTTCAAACAAAGAGCCTGGTCCATTCCAAAGCAGCAAATATTCTTACATCAAGCTTTCTTTCAAAGAACATGGGCAGATCGAGGTAAGTTTTATACCATGCAAGCCAAGCACATCAACTATTGGACATGCTTTTCCCCTCTTGCTGTGTTAGTGATAATTTTCCATGATCTTTCCGTGTTTACTTTTGAGGTGGAGCTTTTTCAGTACATCCTTTTGGAAGACAAACACAAGTCTTCCTAATTCAATACTTTGGTTAAATGATGCAAATTGAGTTCAAAAAATGTCAAGAGCCATTCTTAGGCTTGATGCTTACTGTAGTGGTTTTGTATAATCTTATACTTCCTTTTTTAATCTAGTAGATTTAACACAGGATTTTCAAAATGACATCTTTGAAATCTGTTAAATGTTTAACAGAGTAAAAGATGTTTCTGTGTAGCTACCTCTCTACTGAACAGGAATCAAACAACTTAATCTTCTCTCTAATTTTATTGCTGAACACTTTTTGTTGCCTCAGAACTTTTTCATTTTATGCTTTATGAATTTTTGTTTTTTACTTATTTCCAACCTCAAAGGCTCTGAGCATTCTAAGAAAATTTTAATATATTTTTAAAACAAGTCGTATTCTAAAAAGCTAAGAAATTACATCTGTAAATAAATTTCACAGTATAAGATCCTCGTTTGAAGAGACTGAGAACTTTAACTTTGAACGATGAAAAAAGCTGTACCTGTTCACTGCAGAAAATTAGATTTTTAACTCAAAGTAATTAGAAATGCCTTGTGAATGCATATGTGTGATCAGACTCACTTTCATTTCTTCGTGAGCAGTTTTCAGATTGACAAGGGTAGATTTATGCATAGTTGTATAGGTGTTTTGCCTAATCATAACCTTATTTATTTTAATGTTAGTGTTGTGTCTGAAAATAAAACTTATTATGCTTACTGGTTCCCAGCATATCAGTTACACCCCAGCTTTTCTTTATGACTTCAGAATGCTTTCCTGTGAACCTGAACACCCATAAGGATGGAATAGATTTTCTTTCTGGATATTGGTCAGTGGGATACACGTAGTGTTAAGTATTTAAGTAATGCCACCTTCTGGTATTAGCAATAAACAAATAAGTGTAATTATCTGTGTGATTGTTTTTATATTGTTGAATTAACAGATCAATAGTAATTGGATCGTTCAACTTTCCTTCCTTTGAAAAGCTTGCCTTTGAGGAAACCTTGACATTTTTAACTTTAGCATGGTTTGGAACATTTTGAATATCTGAAAGAAATATTTTACAGTAGAAGTATTTACATGAGTTGAACTAGTGACTACATGGCTCCTACTCTAATATGTATATTTTTGAAGACTGGACATTAAGAATTTCCAGATAAAGGATGTTGTACTATGGGTATGTAGGTGTTACCACATTTTATCTTACAGTGAAGTTTATTTCATCTACCAGCAGGATGCTAAAAATACCCAGAGAGGTATACAGCACAGTTGATGAAATGTGTGTTGTCACTCTTTAATGTTTGCAGTTCTACAGACGATTATCAGAAGAAATAACACAAAGGAGGTGGGAGAGCATACCTACTGGTCAAGCCATGCAAGTTAACAAGGATACACAAGTATGTGCAGAGCCTCTGAGCAGAATCTGTATGCAATTTCTTGTTTCCACTTCTTGCTGCTCCTCTGTAGTGCATCCAGTGTGCCTCTCAAACCAACAAGACGGGCATGTGGGAATTCAGCTTTACTTCACCTATTTCTTCACTGGCATAAATGAGTTTCTCCTTTGCAATTTTTACCTGATAGAACACAGTGGCCTCTCCTGAGTTTGTTTAGACTGGAGTAGTTGATCAGACATAAATACACATAGTTATGCAAATGCAATGTATCTACTTGCATATAACTATATTCAGCATGAGACATCTAATGAAGTTGCAAGATTTTTGGTCTTAATTGCAATTTCTGGGGATTTTTTGTGACTGAATATCAAATATATAATATGTAACTTTGAAACCTAAATATATTTGATTTAAATGAATATTCTAAATGGGCAGTTGTTATGGAAGATGTTAAGTGGTTAGATTCCCCTCTTTATCTGTCTGCATACTTCTGGGTTATAAACTGATAAACATGTAGATGTTGTTTTTCTATATGAACATACAGTACTGTATGAATGGAATAAAATTATTTAAAAATTCCTCAACATCAAATCCCTCTTGTACTCCTTGGCAAATGTAGTACCTATAAGCACAGTTGCATTTGGACTAATGGGAAAACCTGTACCCTGCATGAAGAATCTAATGAAAATTAGGACCTCTTGGTCTTAGGTCATAACAGCTCATTAACACCAGTGCTAAGCCTTGCAGTGAGAGATTTGAGGGCTGACACCGCTGCCATTTAGGTACCAGCCCTTATAAAACACATTTGGCATCTAGTAAAAGTTTCACCATCATCTCCATACTTCTCAGCAAGGTAAATTAGACTGCACTTGACTGCACTATATTACATAATATAGATTGGATACACTCAGGCATTTCCACAGCTCTAGTAATGCGTGTTCACATGGACTCGGGAGGCTACAATTGAGATGAGTGGGAATACTCTGTTTGGATCAGGCTATTCATTTCTTCATATTAATAGCTTCAATATAATAATGTAATTTTCTGTCTAGTATAGCAAATTCATACATGTTTCACACATTTCCTGTCTTTTAATTTTCACAGTGAGGCAGATGAGAAAACTTAATGTTTCCTATTTTGATTCTTTCTTCTTTTTTTTTTTTAGGCAGGAAGAATAAGAGCTGTAGGAATTGTAGGGATTGAAAGGAAATTAGAGGAAAAAAGAAAAGAGACTGACAAAAACATTTCCGAGGTAGGTACTTCTGAAGTTTCAAGGTCAGCCACCTGTATGAACCATTTACATTCATTCTCTTTTTCTTTTAGGGGCAGGAGCATCTGAGACTACTCATTTTTTTTTTTTTTTTTGTTGAGAAGTCTGAATTGATTGAGTGTACTATTTACATTTACTTATTTTGTTTAACTGACTTGTCAATATATGTAAAGGTACTTAACTTAAACAGTTCCTTACAAGAAGACTGTTCTTTGAAACTGTGTCTATTTGTAAAATTAATTTTGTTAGCATTAAAAATTTGAGTTCAGTGACTGTTCATCAGGGGAAGAACACAAATACATGTCCAGAAAGAGTCTATTACATATCGGGGGACGGGGTGTCTTTAGTTTTGTATTTTTTAACACTAATTTTTGTTTCAGTTGAGAATTATTAAGAATATGCTGATCCAAGCATAACTGTGGTGAAGTTAGGCTTTCATCTTAGAAACAGTAATTTTTTTAAAAGTTAGATTTAGGATTATGATTACAGTAAAATGATTTGTAGTTCAGGCATTGACAAGATGTTACAAGTATATTTTGCAAAACACCTGGGCTAGATAGAGACCATCCTTTTCCCTAGAAACAGCACAGTGGTTGAATTTCAAATATCAATACTGATGGACAACAGAGATGTTTAATTTCTTCATATATACCTGAGAGCAATATCCTCAAAAATAGTCTGAGTCTGCTTGGTAGAGTTTAATCCAGAAGTACTCATAAGCTGTATGCAACAGACTTGTTCTTGTGGCAAAACTTTATGGGATTCAATGTTCCATGAGAAAAAAGGCCATTCCCTGCTGTAATACATAAGAAAATTATTTTACCTTTGCAGGCCATGTGCTGTTTGCAATACTGATAGCATTAAACTTTTTTGCTTTCTGTCTGTGAGGAATGTAATGAATGAAGTTTTGTGTAGTTCAAAAGGTATTGTGGTTACATGCATGTGTATATAGTTCAAAAGGTATTGTCTGCTTATTTTTTCCTTTAGTAGCTTTGTCAAAGACTAAAAGAAATCCATTTGTATGTGTTGTATGAACAGAGGAAAACCGTGACTTGTAAAATCCTGCCTTCCTCCAGCTTTAAATGTTATAAATGACTTAATTTAAAAAATGGTGCCCTGGCTTCCAGGAAAAGGCTTCCTGCATCTGCTGTTCAGTGCTGATAAGAATCCAGTTCTTTAGCCTTTTGTTTATCTGAGGAAGTTCCTGTTAGGTGTGTGCACATTCCCCTTTGTTTCCAGGCCTGCCCTCAGTGAGTCAGGCAGAGGAGGAGTTAGACACAGCCGTGCTGTTTATTTAGCTAAATCAAGGGTTCTTTTGATGAATGATGTTTTCATGCAGGTATAGAGATTAGAAATAAGATGGGAAAAGCCTTGGTAGAAAACTTATTGTTGGTACCATTTCCAAGTACAGTAGAAGGACGTTGATTTACACCAGAGATTGGGCAATCTATTGTAAATTATTGAATTTGGCAGATTAGGGAGTGAAGAAACACTCCAAAAAGGAGCTCTTGTTCTCATATGGGTAAATTATTGTTCTACGGTGGTATATTTTCTTTTCTGCCTTTGAACCTAGGTTTGTTCCATTAAACTTTGGACATCTAACTTAGGTACCAAGTCTTAGGAGGCTGAACTTCTCCAGTCAGTGGAGAAACACTTGGCACCATTAGGAGGTGTTCAGATCAAAAGCAAGCCCTCTTCCTTCCTAGAAGCATCTCCTTTTCTTCTTTGCATGTTCGATCTCAGACCAATAAGCTTCTAAGTAAGGTACCTAAATGCAGATGGGAACGATTGAGTCTTCCTGCAAAAATACTGCTAAAATGTGTCTTTGTAGTGGGGGATTAGTTGGAATAAGCCAGAAATCACATAGAAGCAGTGACTAGGAGCTGTAGGCAAGATATATATCTGGTCATTTGACATACTCTAACTGAACAACCTTCTTTTCTTGTGACTGGAGGGCTTGGTGCTGCCATCAGGCAAAGTTCAGCTGAAAAGGTTCAGGAATTTTTCTCACAGTTGTTCAAAAAAGGTTGTTCAAAAAGGTCGACCACCTGGACGTGTTGTCATGTATTTGAGAGAAGCGAGTGGGGATGCTGAATGTGTGTTGATGAGGATGGGAGAGTAGAGAGTTGCTTGTTAAAACAGGTGCATTCATGGAGTTGTTAGCTCTTTTTTTTTTTTAACATGAATTTTTTAAAGCTAGTTGGTTTTCATTACTAAAAGTTTTGAATTTCAGTATACTTTCAGCTATTTTTAAAGTATGTTTTATTTAAGCCTAAAATACTGCTTGTGTTGTTGTTGTTGTTGTTGAAGTTGTATTTGAGACCATAGCAGTTTACGGTGATACTTAAATGAAGAGATGTTGCTGCATGTTTTCAGAGGTTTTGTCGCTTCAGTTAAGCATACACATGAAAACATATACCCTCTTCCTTGCTCACTTGAAATGATTGTTTCTTATTAACTTAGTAATATCTACTGATTAAAGTAAAACTGTCTTGTCCGGAGGAGTACATCTGTATCTTTACATCTGGCTTGCTGCTGGCCAGAAACAATAGATCTCCTTGAGTGAGAGTTACTTGGTGGAAGAAAACCTGCCATCACCACCAAGAAACCTTCCCCCAGCTTATAGGAGAGCACAATGAATTTCAACAGTTGAATCTTTTCTCAGTGTCTCATTGTTCCTTCCTATTGTGGACTTCATATTGAACTACTGTTTGCATACTGGAAAAGTGTGCAATTGTTGGGTTCTCATCTTCATTCTCTGTTGTTTATGTGTATTTTAGTTGAAAGACCTGATATAATTTGTTGATACTTCTATTTTATATACAATATATCATATTGTAACATATTAACCTAAAGGGGTAGCAGCTCTTATGAACAGCTTGGATAGGTGTACAATGGCAGCTCCCTGTATCCATGAAGATGAATTACACTGATCTGCATTGTCTGCTTTTTATTTCAGGCTTTTGAGGACCTTAGCAAACTAATGGAGAAGGTATGTATGGCATGGGTCACTTGTCCAAGTAGTTTTAAGCTTGTTTTCTCAGTTTCAAGCGTGATTTTCTCTTGATCTGAAAGCTGACTTAATCTATGTGTCTTCCTTGATAGGCTAAGGAAATGGTGGAGTTATCCAAGTCAATAGCTAATAAGATTAAAGAAAAACAGGGTGACATCACTGAGGATGAGGTAAATGAATTTTGTTTTTAAAGTGAACAGAAATGTGCCTATGAAAAGCAAAAAACTATCCCTTTAATGCATGTAATGTTAATAAAAACCACTTCCTGATTGGTTTCTTTGTGTTTTGGTCCCTTATAGAATTTATTTGTTTAGTGTTAATTTTTCCTTTAATGCTTCTTAAAGCAAGGATTTTACAGATTTTGTGTATTTTTTTTCTATTTTTTGACCTCTGCTGGTCAAAAAAAAATTGTGTTAAGTCTTGCCTTCTCTTTGTTAGCAGTTTACTTTTTTGATAGTAAATTTAAGAATTTATTCACTAAAACTGCCTTATAGTAATAAAACCAAAGACTTTTAAAACCCAGAATCATTCACTAGCTGATGTACTTGTAAATTTATTTATTTGTTTGCTCTTCTAGACTATTAGGTTCAAGTCCTATCTCCTGAGTATGGGTATAGCTAATCCAGTTACTAGGGAAACATATGGATCTGGTACACAGTACCACATGCAACTGGCAAAGCAACTAGCTGGAATACTGCAGACACCATTAGAGGTAAAGTACTTAATTTTGTACCAGCATTTTCTCTGTGTTGCTGAATTTTCGTGTAAACATGTTTTGGCTGTAGTGCTGTGCCTCTTTTTGAAGTCTCGGATCTTGCAGCACAGCCTCATATCCAATGTTTACGGGAGGTATAGATATCCGCTTTTTGAAAAAGAAACTTTAAATATAAGTAAGAATTCGCAAAATTCTTCTATTTACAAAATATCAGTGAGACTTAGAAAATTGCACGAGTACTCTTTCTTCTATTTGAACAGCCCTGCATTCATCCCGTGCTGCAGAATATAACATTTTTAAAATAAACTGAAATGACACTGACTGAAAATACAAGTAGTAAGTCTTTAAACTGCTTACCATTTACATATTTTGCAAACATAGGACAGAATTATTAAGTAGATTACCTGCCCTTAGTAATATTTTCTGGTTTAATTTATCTGAAGCTATTACAGAATTCAGGATTCTCACCAAAAAGTTGGATTTCATGTTGCAACTTATAAGGCTATGTTCCTACTGAAAAAAGTACATATTACAGAACTTTTGTGAAAGCAAGGTGCTGCCTGCTGTGATCAGAATGGAAAACTGAGTTTGTTTGAAAAGTAAAAACGATAAACTGATTGATTTACATATTGAAATTCCTTGTTCCTGTTTCATACATTTATTTGCTTTAAAATCAAAGTAATTCATTCACAGTGTTTGGGTGTAGCATTACTGTTTTGTATTTTAAACTGATTAGCGAAAGATGCAATTTACCTCTTTAGTTTTCTCCAGTCAGGCCCATCACACAGCTACTCTGTTTTACCTGTTTAATCAGTCAAATACAACTAGACATCCTGTGTTCACTGGGTTAATGCTTTTGCTCTTACCAGTCTTGTGCTTAACACAGGAGCGAGGAGGGATCATGTCGCTCACAGAAGTGTACTGTCTGGTGAATCGAGCACGAGGGTTAGAGGTGAGAAACTGCTCATATTGTTAAATATTTTATAAAATGTACTTAAGTTATAAGGTAATTAAAGAAAAAGGGTAAAAATGTTCCCTAGCAGTTGCTCATTCTACATGTCTAACAGCAAGAAGTGATCACCCTTTATTAAAATTAGTCTGGTTTTACCTTTTTCCTTTCTTCTTCTTCCATGTATTATTTATGTATCCTTTACGAGTTGTGATAATGTGTGCTGCTTTTTGTAATACCATGTAAAAGGAAAAATCCATCCTTATCTGAAAATAAAACTTAAAGGACAGAAACTACTAAAGAATGGTGAATGTTTTGGGTTTCCCTTTAAAAAATACAACAATTCTTTCTGTAAAGAAGGCAAAAGGATTATTATAGAACACATAATAAAGGAACAGAGAGCAGCATAGAAGCCAAGAAAATAGACGGCACAAAAGAAAGGAAGAAAATTAACAATAAGTGTAGCCTTATAAGTATTTTAACAATAAGTGTAGCCTTAAGTATTTTATAGCTGTAGTTATTGAAACTGTTTGTTTGGGTGTTGTACTATGTACCTGAAATGCAAGCTGTGAATAAATATGTTTTACTATTTTAATAGTTGCTGTCACCAGAAGATTTAGTAAATGCTTGTAAAATGCTGGAATCACTGAAATTGCCAATAAGGTAAGAGCTTTACAGATTTATTTATGAAACATGGCACTCACAGGTCAGACCATGATGATTTAATATTTTACCTGTTAAAAAAAAATACAACAACAACAACAAAAATCTACTACAAAGACATTCTTTCCTTAAAGGATGCTGCTGTATGTGCCAATATCCACTCTACATCAAAATACTAGTTTTTAGGTATGGTTCACTTTGCTAGGAAGAAATTATTCTTTTTACTTCCAATACAGTTTTTTTCAGACTGGGAAAAGGGTTTAACCAAGACCATACATATGCTCTGCTCTTTTCAGTCTCTTTAGCTTTTGAAGATGCTATTAGGCTTAAGTTCATTTTAGAGCATTTGTTTAGGATTTTTTTCATTTTTTCCCCTTTTGTAATGTGGTTATAGGCGTAGCTGCATTAGAAATGTGACCATAGGTGATGTGCACAGTGTTTTTAGTTACTTTTCTTCTCTTTTTTGATTTTAGGCTTCGGATATTTGACAGTGGTGTGATGGTGATTGAACTCCAGTCTCATAATGAAGAGGAAATGGTAGCTTCTGCTTTAGAAACAGTAAGTGCACTTCATTTCTTTCAGTGTTCTGACCATACTATGGAAAATTAAACACATTAGGTACAAAAACTTGAGGTACAGGATTTCCTTTTGAGGTATTGAAATACAAAATATTCCACTTCCATATCTTCTAGAGTAATACTTAAATAGCACTTCTCATCTTCAAAGTTCTGTGCAGGCAATAACTAGTCATTGCTTTCTCTTTAAGGAGTAAAACACTTTTCCATCTCTTCTCAAATTTATTAACCTAAAACCTTCCTCTAGATCTTTTGTGCTGTAGGATGAAATTTGTGGCAGGTATTAAGCACCTAATTTAACAGAAGCCCATTTCAAACACTGAACACGATGTGCTTGAAGGCAGTAGAAGCAGCTCTTAGAGGTCGATATAGGTAGTTGATTGGTTTGGCTTTATTTCATAAAACAGTACTTCATATGTGTAACATCTTGTACGGAGTTCGCTGCTGTGATGAGCACTCGGAGAATATTGTGTGCAAAATTAGGGTAGCTTCATCGGGAAAAAAATTGTATGAATTGCTCAGTGTCATAAACCTTTGTGGTCTTGCTGCCTCTGGACACTTATCCCATTATCTGTCCTGTTATCCCATTATTTGATGCATTTTTCTATGTCTTTTTCAGTGGAATATAATTTCTTGATTTTCACACACTTGAGAAAAGGCTAATTCAGTGTATCTCAGGTTAAACATTAAAGTCAAAGAGGACTTTTTCTTGGGCAGTAGATAAAAAGTAGAGCTATCACAGTCAGCTTCTCACTTGACACGAGGTAGACTCTTCAGGGCATTTTCCATGATTTGTTACTGTATAGCTTTCACTCATCAAAAAGATTTTTAGATAAGAGAAATGTATTTAGATAATGATTTAGATAAGAGAAATGCATATTCTGATCTAAGAGATTCCATTCTAAGATTATCAAAACTAAAATGCTTAAATCTTTCAATATATGTTAATATTTTCAGTTTATTTTCTTATACTTGCAGAAAAATACCTACTCCATTTTAGAGGTTTTTTTCTGATTGGTTTCTAAATATTTGTTGCCTTCAGTAAGAGTACTTATCTCTTTGAAAGGAAAGGAAAAACCTTTCTTGATAACAGAGGAGGCTAACTGGAAAAAGTAACTGAGGGTGGATTTATTACCAAAGTGCCTTTTTTCTGTTATTTTCATAATGCGAGACTTTGACTCCATAGAAAAATGTAAGGGAGAGGCTTCCAATGAGAAGGGCTAGCCCATAAGGGAACAGGAAGATGAGATCAGACTTATGGCCAAAAGCACTCTGTACTTTCATGTTACTGTACATTATACATTAAGTTCTGAGAAGAAGTGCAAGGTTTCAGACAGGAGAGAGATGTGATTTGAATGGCTGGTGAAGACAGGAAATGACACGGATGTCAAAGGAATCCAAAGTCACCTTTGATGAGAGTAGTGGTTTGGGAAGGGAAGATAATTAATCACCAGTTGTATGGCTGACTTCTATTACTCAGGTTTGATCACCTAGCTTCCTAAAATCTCACATTAGGACTAATTTAATCTGAGTTTCTGTAAAACGACTCCTGCTGAGAATGATGCACAATAGACCCCTCCCCACCCAGTTATGTGGGAAGCAGGAAATGGCAACTACATCCAGCATTACAAGTTGGCTTGAATCTACAGCAGTGTCGAAATGGAAGAATTAATTAAGTTTTGGGTAATAAAACATGTTTATCTGGGAAATTGAATGCAGCAATAACTCCAGACTTCAAATCTAGTATTTATCTAGCATTTCAAACATGCACATGTCCAACGTGTGTGAGGTTTCATTTTAGCATGTCTTAAGTAGCGTGGCTGAGACAAAGGGGCCAAAACAGTCTTTTGTATCAAGTGAATGTGATGGCAGCTTTTACTTATCCCCCTAGTATGCTGTAATATCATGTGAAGTACTAAGGTTTGGGAATGTTCCCATAGGCAGTGGGCATACTTTAAATTTGAAACTCAAATTCTTCACTTATACCTGAGATGACTTCAATTTCTACACTGATGAACTGCTCTAAACAGGTCTTTTATTTCCTCATTTAAGCTTTGGTGTTTGCAGAATCACTTAGCATAGATGGGCTGTGTAAATACTTATTGTGACAGTATTCTGCTGTCTGAGGTATTCTGATTTTTCCATTAATTTGGTCCCAAGGTACCTTTTAAAAAAATCCAAAGAAAAGGGTACCATACAATTCTTTTAGATCTTTAGAGATCTAACTCTTTTCTATGTTCCTTTCTTATACTTGGCAATTTCTCCCAGGCACAGAATAGGTATTTTTAAGGGGAAATAGTCATAATTAGTTGTACTTTTTAAAAATGCAAACAAACTAATTTTCTTCATGAGGTATTTGCTACCAATTTATCAGTTCTTAAGGCTAGACCTGATTCAGTAGCTGAGAGAACTTTGTTGTTCTTTTAATGCCTTATGTTATTTGTGTATTTGTTTTTTGACAGGTATCTGAAAAGGGTTCTCTCACAGCTGATGAGTTTGCTAAGTTGGTGGGGATGTCTGTTCTCTTAGCCAAAGAAAGGTAAGTAATAATTGCTGTATTTAATACTTTAGTTACCATGTAGTCCTCAATTAATACAGCACATCTTCTTTTGCTTTCTCTAGGCTTCTTCTTGCTGAAAAGATGGGCCATCTTTGCAGAGATGATTCAGTGGAAGGCTTGAGATTCTACCCAAATTTATTTCTGACGCAAAGCTAATGTCATTTGTATGCAATTTTTTATGTAACAGTTTAGAGCACAGGGCAGAATCCTTCCAAGAACTGACTTAAACATTTTATTTTGTTATCAACTGCAACAAACATGAACATTGCAATGCTTTACAGTTCTCAGGTATTTCAAGTGCTGAATCCTCTAACATGGAACTGAAAGGAAATAGAAATCACAAAGTCAGAAGCATGTCAATTGTCTCAAGCCAACTCACTCATTTTTCACATTTTATTTGATGTGCTCTATAGTTTTTCATTTCAAGAGAAGTCAAATGGAGATTCCACGCAAGTGAAAGTGGAGAGAATATCCCTGTAGTCTTCCATGAGTGTCAGCACCCAGAAGACAGGTTACTGAATACTCCAATTTCAGTTTGTTTATGTCTAGAGTAACAAAGCAGACAGCTGTATCCGCAGCGATAAGAAAAGTCACTTGAGTGTGTACCGAGGTATAAGTAACAAACCAGTGTAGAATAACCCCATCTCCCTGAAGTGATGAACAGTTTTCTAAGAGAGGATCTTGGGGTTCTGTACTTTGATAAAGAAAGAACTTGCTACTGCAGAGATTATTGTATTTTATGTGAATCTAGAAATCATGGTGTTTATTTTGTCATATCTTATGCTAATATTTCAGATAGAAACATTGTTAGCACAGACTTCCTCCCTTCTCTTTCCTTGCCATCTTCCTTCCTGTCAATTTATGTTGCACTTTGGGTGCCCTTTCTCTGTCCGCTCTAGGACAGTAGAGCAGCCTCTTGACACTCTTCCAGTCTCTGTGCTTTGAGGGGCTTGGTTTTTATCTTGTTCTTCTTACAAAAGATCATTTGTTTGTTTCATCAGCTGGTCACCTGTTTCAGGGAGGCAGTTCGTTTGCTTATCTCTCATAATGTGAAAATTAATATGCTTTCAGTATTGAATGGAGGAAGACGACTATCACCCTGTGCTTAATAATCACAAGGTATCATATTGTTTGATATTCCTCACCCTGTGTTCACACTGAATGCAATTTGATAGCCTCAGTTGTCATAACTCCAGTGGAGTTGCTACACTACTTGAAGATCTGTTGTCATGATAATAACACTTTAGTGGATGTTTATGATCCACATCACCTAAATTTTTGGCATTTTGAAGAGATGATTTTTAGTAAATAACAAAATTATTCAAGGTATGGGCTGGGACAACATATAGGTAACTGCATTGTGGTTGTAATGGCCAAATCAGAATTACAAAGAAGGACAAAAAGGTTTTTCATAAGAACCTGAAAATATTTTCAGAACTATTTCAGTGTTACCATAGCTTAGACATGGGTTAAGAGCCTGCCAATAAGGAGTTAAGTGCAGAGATGCCTACAGTGATGGTGCCTGGGGTTTGCAGGATGCTCATTTAGATTCAGTGAATTATGTCCTCTTGTCATGAGCAAACTTTTGTGCACTGCTCTCTTTAGGGCAGTTTTCCTCTGCTCCAGGAGGGTGTTAAAACTAATGCATTTGACACTAATGCATATTGATTAGCTAAAGGAAGCAGTTCCACACTATTCTTACTGTGTTAACCCTTGTTATCATCTCTTCGGGAGCCTTACAGCTTGCTGCTTTTCTTCACCCTCTCCACAACCCACCGAGTGCAAGGTACACCAAGATGACACTTCTAGGGAGGGACTGAAAAATGAGAAATTCAGAAGCAAAAAGCTTTTTGTGGCTACTGTCTCTTTTGCCCAATACCAAACCTGTCATGGGAGACCAATGGTTTGTGGGCCTGAACCTCTCCCCACAAGGGGGCATGTCTTGTGCAGAAAGAATAAAACCTCAAAGGAAATGCCAAGTGTAAAATCCCAACCTCTGTTCCTCCAACCCTGAATGTTTCATTATCTTAATTAAGCAATAATAATACAGCCTATTTAGAATAATGGTACCTTCTCAAGCTTTTCTTTCCCAAGATTTTTCCTTGATTTTTTTTGCTACAGAGAAGAAGTCCATCAGGTGAATCGTATAGCTGGTTTAGAGAAAATGAGAAAATGACACATGAGAAAATGACTGCTAGAAAGTAATAAAATTAAAACATTTTCTTAAACAGACTGTTCTGTTGAGTTTTTTTTCTTTCTAAATATGTTAGGCAGCTTTAAAACCTTTACACATCAAAATCTTGTGATTCCATGGGGCAGGTTTTTAAAGCATAGCTAATTTTTTACTGTCTTTCTTTGTACTGAAAAGGGTGGAAGACAGTTTTAAGGGCAGAATTAAATGTAATTAGAATGCCCTGGTTTTGTTGCTGAGTAGCCTGTGACCCATCCAAGCCAGAATAGTCAAGCTACAGATGTCTACAAAAGCACCACTTTCCTGAGGGAACCAGTCCAAGTTCGAGCCAGGCATTTCACTGGGAAGGCATTTGGCACATCTAAACGTGTTTTGCCAGCTGACATACAACAGAAATCATGTACCCGAAACCATACTGAGAGTCAGCTGTTGGGTGAACAAGGGGAGTGACATGTTTACAGGTGTGTGGTACTGTGGTAGTACACGACGCTATCCTAAGCTGTCACTGTCCACTCCCGTTTCCTAGCACGATTCTAGAAGAGGGGGAAATGTAGGAATTGCCATTCTTACAGATGACACTAGTTTAATACAGAGGGTGCATATATGAACCTTTCCTGTGTTGATTGTTCCTGGGATATTTATATCACAATATATAACCATTACCTCATTTTGCCAGGGCTGCCCCAATACATGGTCCTTTGAACAGAGGTCTGCTCAAAAAGTGCTTGGCTTTTTATGGAGCAGTCTTGAATGATGATTATGTTTTTCATTTGAAAACATGGGCCTTTTTATATCTGACAGGAAAACACTCCTCAGGAATCTGTACATCTTTTCCGTTTCTCCTTTGCCTTTGTTTTCAGAAAAATTACATTCAGCCTATGGAAACACAGATCTACTCTGGAACGTATTTCTGAAATGCAAATTTTTTTTCCTCTGAAAAGTATGCATATATGTGTATTTGGGAGTCTTCAGAAGTGTATCTTTAATAATAATTAGTGGGTGCATATTGATTAGCTAAACTCTTTGATGCTCAGTTCTTCTAACAGGACTTTTATGGTTTGTCCAAAAAGCCTGACTCTTCTTCTTCTAAAATTAGTGCAAGTATTGTCACTGAATTCACGAGGACAGTAGTGGGAGGCAGTAGGAGCCTGTTGCCAACAGTAGAGGTTCTCATTTGCAGTTGGACAGTTCTTTCAAAATACACACTGAAAAGGCAGGAATGGCCAATTCAAAATTACTTGTGGATTTGATAAGAAACCGCTGTTTTCTCTGGGAGGAACTCCCTCTCTAATGTATTTTCTGTTGAGCTAGATTGACAAATCTAACAATTACTTTGCTTCTCCCATTCTTGCAGCTCTGATTTCATCCTAATTCTCAGCCCTTTAGGCATTCATGTGAAATGTAAGACCCTGTAGTTCCAGATCGTCTTCAGGTGGGGAGACGTCAGCTATCATTTTGTTCTTACAAGACTGAGCTACAAGTACTCAAGCTGAGAGGATATTCTAGACATGTCTGTTGGCAACATTCATCTGTACTTCAAGGATCTATTCAAATACCTTTATTGGAGCAGAGGGCCAAGTGTCTGCCATACCTCCCAGGTACTTGACCTGGCCAGCAAGCTTGAGAGTAATTTTTCTTTGGGGCTTAGAATTATATTATACAAACTAAAAAACCCAGCAAACAACAGCATCGAAACACAAAAGTTTCAGGAGTGACTGAGACAATTTCAGTTTCAGAAAACCCCATAGCCTGGAAGTTGGTACATGCTCGTGACAGGTACACCTCACAGAAACCACCCTGCTTCATATCCCTGCTCCAGACCAAAGACCAGGTAGGCTCCTGGGTTTCCTGCTTTCACACTGGACTGCAAATGCTGTGACTTTAAATTTCTGCTGATGAAAGAGCACATTAAACCTTGCTCTGCCATGGTGACAGCAGAGCTGGACAGCAAGTTCAAGGTAAAAGGGGAATCGTCTCAGCACTGTTGTGACTCTAGTCCTGCTCTGACCATAAGGCTCAGACTATTTAGATGTTTTGCATTATTTTGTCAATTCAAACTATTTTATGTACTTAAATTATCATCATAATTATTTCAGTAGGTAAGTAAAGGAGAGGACTGATAATCTAAATGCTGTTTCACTGTATTTTTGAAGTCAACCATTTGGTCAAACAAAGTCAACCAATTGGTGCTCCTGTGCCACCTGCTTCATGCGTGTAGAACACTCCCAGAAACCAAAAGGCAGGACTTGTTATTTTATTCTAACCAAAAAACATTGCAAGAGGATACATGCTATGTGAAGCACTGTTTTTGCAAAGAACAATAAAAGCAGAACAGTTGCACAGAATACGTTTGTGTCTGTGGCAGGTATGGCATTTGTACAGTCGCTATTTAGTGACTCACTTCATGTAGGTAGAATTCTTTTCAAATGTTGCCTAAATATAAGAGTATTTGACACGGTGTATGAGAAACGTCTGTTCTTTCAGCCATACTCAGCAGTTGTGTGTGTGTGTGGCATAATTCCCCTGAGTTTCATTTTGCATTGGATGGAGGATCTGAGGTGTGTCCTTAAATTGCAAAGATATTCTGGTTTGATCCACCCATTAGATGAGAACAGCAAAACTCCCACCGACTTCAAACCCAGCCTTTGTTATGATTATCAAACACTGACTAGTTAGCAGCTCTGGAAATGGGTGTATTGTGCATGGCTGACTCTGTCAGGAAGAAAGAAGATCTTAAAAGACATTCTGCAGTAAAAATCAAAATCTTTTGGTCTTTTCAGTAGAAATACCAAACTAGACAAAACTGTTGCAAAGCGACTATTTCTGATCTTTCTGCATTCCTATTGTTTTTTCCACAGTGTTTTGGGAAAGCCCAAGATAAGGATAATTCTTTTTTTCCACCGGGACTCTAATCTATTTATAGGTTACAAGGCCAGAAGAGAGTATTATGACCACCTCGCTTGACCTCTCGGGTAACAGAAGCTGTAAGGCTTCCCTTGCTTAATTTGTGTTTGAAGTAGAGCTCCTCTTTAGAAACAATAAGAGGTTGCATCTTCTGGGAAATCCTACTGCAGCCCTTGGCAGATTATTCCAGTGACTATTACCTGTTGGAAATACGTTTTCAGTGTACATAATCAGAGTTTGTTTAGCTTTGGCTTCTGAGCACTGGACCTTATATTTAAAAAGTCCTTTATTAAGCCTGGTGTCCTGGAATGTAACTGTTTCTTAAACATAAATTATTTGGATTCTTTTTGTCCACCACATTGTCCTTTTTTCTGCTCTTCCAAAGGCTTTTACCTAATAACCACCTTAAGCTGTGAACACCAGCAGGGGACCAGGGAAAGCTATAGTAAAAGTCCTAACTGCAGAGGTACTTTGTTCCTCCAGTTTTTATACTCACAGCCATCGCACACAGACAGCATGTCCACGCTATCAAAACCTTGCTTGAACCTATGTTCATGCTCAGCTCACTCCCCATCCACATACCTCAGATGCAAATATGACTCAGATGTCAGACTTTTTCTGGACTTTCATTCCTGTGGGCATTTTAAGAGGGAATGTGGGGTGTGAGAGTGGTCTTCTGAAAACTACACTAGGCTAAGTGCACTGCAGGCAGGCTTCCCGGTGGACATCTGAGGCTAGAGTTTTCTTAAGCACAGTAGAAAAACTATGAGCCTGAGCCTTAGTGGGTTTATTAGCCAACAGTGTAGGTGGAAAGGTTCAAGGCTTCATCCGATTAAACCTGCCCTGCAGCTTCCTTGGCAGGTTACAGATGCTTTCCTGCAGGTTTGCTTCCTCAGGGCTTTTCCTTCGTGCTATGGTTGTGTGATTATTTCTCAAAGTGACAGATGAAATTTCACTTGATCATCTCTTTATTTTGATACCCATGCTAACTACTCTCTCACAGCAAGTTTTGTGTTTCCTCATAGGAATTTGGTTGAGGTCATATTTCTTGCGCTTTGGCAATACTTTCAGGTGGGATAGTGGCAAAAGACTTGTCAAAGTAAAGTGACATTGTTCTCTGCTCCAAACCTGTGGGCAGCAGCACGAACTAACTGGTGTGACAGTGGGAGCTCAAGATTAGTTAACAACTCAGTATGAGCTCCAGATCTTTGTAAAGTAATGAGTCCCCAGGAGGGAGCTGCACATCCTGTAACGCATGTTCTGCAATCTTTGTTCCTAGATGTGTAATTTTACAGG